AATTGTTGCATTTGTATGCCAATACCCGTTCAGGGTTTATTGGTACAGTTGGTACCATTGTCAAATTATTGTACCAATGGTATATTGAAAGTTGGTACTAATGGTAGAACTGTGAACGCACCCAGTAACTGTCAGCTGTCAATTTTTTGCCTGTATGATAATCACGTACTGTGCATAAGTGACTGTGCTTACTGAATACTAGGAGTCGGTTAATATGCACTAGCTCAAAAGAAGATGTCATTGATAGAGGAATCTCTCTTATTGGGGACTTTCCATTTTCCTTGATAATATCACGCTATGCACTATGTACAGTCAACATGGTGAGTGATACTGAAAACTTTTATAATCAGATGATAATTACCATGATTAACATTTAATTTATCTATATGACTTTCATGGTAACTTAGGTACTGCTCGCTCTTTTGCAGGGCAAAATGATATAGTTTGGTGAAATATGACCTAAAAGTAATTGTTAAATATATATGTCATTTAATTATCACTCAACAAAAACTTCGCCAAACGTTAATTTTTTGCCCTGCAAAAGAGTAGTACTGCAGTTACCGTGAAGGGGCTAATAACTATGATATTGGAAAGAGGTGTAACAATACCGTATATATATTGATCCTATTCGGGGAGGGGGGGTGTCCTAGTTTAGAAGGATTGATCCATATATCACATACTCAGACACATAGGCGCTCCCCGTGTAAATCTGTAAATGACAAAATATAAGTATATATATAGGTCTACCCCCTCTATACTATAAAATGATTTTATAGTATAGATGGGGTATATATTTCGTCAATGACAGATTTACATGGGGAGTACCTATGATTTATCAGATTCTTAGAAGAGAGCTTGATGGCCCTGTCTATCTACCTGTTAAGTCAAGACACAGTTTCATTTTTATTTAGTCAACATAATGCACTAAGAATCTACAACTCATGATAACCAACCTTGGTCACTAGATGGCGCTCCAACGGTTCCCATGGTAACTGTTTGTATACAAAATGGCAGATGTAGCCATGCATAGATTAAATAAGTCAAACAGAAAAATTATATATTTTATCGGCCAGAATGATACTAGTATTTGCCATTAAAGAATTCATAATTACTATGAAGCACAATAAAAGATATTCAATGTCAAGCAAGTATTTTTATAAGTCAAAGGGGAATTGGGTCAATATTAATACCAAAACCTGCATTAGTATGTTATTGCATTGTGCTGTTTCTTTAGAAGCCTTTATTTTTTAATTGATTATTAACTGGAGCAATTTCAAATATTTTTTTTTTTCTTCAGCTGAAGTTATACTCATTAAGATTAGTTGGAATTTCTCAAAACACTCTGAATTTGCATAAACTTTTAAAATTAACAGTATACACATATCAAAGATGTTCATATGGAGATTTTGTAAAATTTGAAATTGCTTTCGGGTGAGATATGATACAGTAAAACAGGCTTATAACAAAAAAAAAAAATGGTATGAATTGACTTTTATAGTAAAATGATTTTCATTTCCCTTGCCAAAAATTATATACCAAACATGTAATGTAACAAATTTCACTTTTGACAAAGTAGACTCTCACAACCCTGACACTTGCTAGAAGTATAAGCTTGTTTCACTGTACATGGTAGGATTTGTTACAGAGACTTAAGAGGGCTTCATGGGTTTTTGTTTACATGAAAATCTCCAAAATAAAACAGAGTAATACATCAAGACTGTTCTATTTACTTTGAAGTTGTGCTCTATTAACAAACAAATTTTATTTTTCATTTTATTATCTTTCCCTTGGCTGGGACCCTGGATTTTTTTTTGGTTTGGGGGGGGGGGAGTGTGTGTTAAATCATGAAGCCCTCTTAATTAGGAATTTATTTGTGACAGGAAAACATGCAGGTGTTGAATACAAAAGCAGCACGGTGGAATATGACATTTCATCATGCAATGGAAAACAGACTTCTTCAAATGTTGAAGATTTCTCAACTCATTTGGGACTATAAAAATTGTCCTTATAATATGAAATGATTTTTTTTTTACAATTTTGTTTGTTAATTGAAATCATATGGTAACTTTTTTTTAAAGAAAAAGAAACAAATCTTCTATTTTCACTTTTAAATTTTACATTTTTCCCATATCTCATTTTGCTTGGGGGTTTTTGACCAATATGATATAATTCATTATATTCCGGACAAAGAAAGGTAACAAATTTTGAGCAGTACTGTAAAGGCTGTCTTTTACTGTTCAGATTTTTGAAACATCTTTTATATCAAAAAGGGAATTTTGACAGAAAACGTTAACCGCTCAACGCATTCAGCCATGCAGAACGTATCCCTTTCCCCTCTACATTGGTAAAGGTTAAAAGGTCAAAATAAATAAATATAAATACAAATATCATAATTATACAGAAAATTGCATATTAAATAAATCATATAATGATTATAATAATAGATTAGTAAAAAGAGTTATTGCCCTTGTCATTTGGTTCCATGGTTCCCGTGTCGCTATGGTTACACATTTTTATAATGGATAAACAAAAAAAAACATAAAAAATTCATCAACCATTCAAGTAATTCTGGTCAAGCAAATATTCAGTGTGAGCTTATAAAGAGGACTCTATATTTAACTGTCTTAATCTGGGGTAAAATGTTAAGATAATACATATAGCAGTGCAATGATCTCTGATTAATAAACATCGATAAAGGGAGACAATTCACCCTCTTCCCGCTGCATGCACCAACAGGGACGTCTGCATAACATACCTCAAAAAAAAATTAATTAGTTCAAAATCCCACAAAAGGCAACTCCTTTGAAAACATATTTTTTAAATAAACTGAAAATACTTTCAAATTTTTAAAGATTTTGAAACATTTCATAGGCTTTAAAGTAGTTTTCATAATTTCTTTCCTCTTGTAGCATTTTTTTTTTAATATGACCAATTTATTTAAACATTTCCAAAGAAACTGCCTTCACATACAGCCTAATGTATGCTCCCTGAGAAATACCTTAATGACTACTCCCCAGGTATTGTTCCTATACCTATATCAGAAAAAATTGATGTCCACAGTTTGAAAGAAGTTTCTACATTCGAAACAGAAATATCAAGAGATAATTTTACATTATCTATAGACAAACCAAAACAAGAAAGGATCACAAAAATTAAAAAAAAATCTGCCAGGAAAAATTTACGTACCACAAAATCATCCTATTTTCTGAAATCCACTTTTCCTCCATTATTAATCCATTTGTTCACAAAAAAAATGTTTTGCAATTTTTTAAGTCAAGACCTCTGTTTTTTTTAAATCATACTAAATGCACCTTATAAAATGCAGAAAAATCTGGTGATTTTATTTCCCAGTTTTTATTTACATTCCCATATCAATAATAACAATAACAAAATCAAAACAATATAGAGATTCCAAAATTCCACTCCGTCCAAAAAATTAAACACAGAGAAAAAAAATATACCTCCCTTCTAACACATCAAAAATGATAAACAAAAAAAATCATTAGAGTATAATAATCAATTTTAAAACACAAAATTAATCATTTAAGGATTACAAGTTTAAAGAGTTTAATTTGACCCATGGGCAACAGCTATTCCTAATACTGCACAGGATTAATTAAAATTGGTGCACACAAACGTGCACATTTCATGTCGCCTAAACCTATTAATTAAACAGACTTAATCAATAATTAACAAAGAATTGAAAACATGTAGAAATAGACCTTTAAACAGCATTATGAATTTAATAATCATTAAGGAAGATAATACTGGAGCAGATCTCAAATAGAAAGCCAAATTAATCCACCATAACTTTAATTTAAAACAGAGAGGGGTTACTTTAACTGTGCCATTACAGACAGACAGACAGACAATATTAATAGAGAGCGATTCCTCAGAGTGTGTGATACATACTGGGACCTTAACAATCAAAACTATTTGTAATGTACAATGACAGACAGACAGACAGAGACAATACAGCTCTTTCTTAAGGTCATATGCAATTGGACTTTATTGGGTTTTTCCCTGAAATTGAAGATTTCCAGTTTAAATGATGGACCCGTGTGCAATACTTTTAATGTCTATATATGGATTTGTACACCTCTTCTAAAACATTTTTGGATGAAAAAAATTCTGGAATTTGTGTTTTGTAAATTTTGTACATAAATTTATACTGTTCTTCGAGTAATGTAAAAATGTTCATAATTTTATTTCTTTCAAAAATCTCTGGTAATGCATGCTGATTTTTTGTCTAAGAACATGTAATGATATTGTAAGATTAAATTTAGAATATCTTGAAAAAATTATCAGTAGGTGAGGTGCGTTGCATTTGTCCTTAACCTTAACTTATACTTACTCTCTACACAAGTGCAAAATGTTTTGGGGAAATTGAGAATAATACATTTTGGGGGAGTGGGGATGTAGAAACCTTCATTCAAACTGTGGACAGATTAACCATAGAAAAATATTTAAATTTATATAATCCAAAAAACACAATCATTATCTGCAGTTATGTCCCTTTAACATCACAGCATTCTGTACAGGTTTCATTGTCCTTTTTTGAGAAAAAAAAAAACGAAAGTAAAAGGACAACTAGGCTGTACAAGCTCTGTCATCTTATTTTTCTTTAACCATACAAATAATATTAAACAATGTATAAAAACTCTAATATTGCCTCTGGAATAGACCAGTTTATCACCTCATACAAAGTTTGTACATAATAAACTTGTATCTCTCTCTTACTCTCTCACTGAACCCTCTCTCATGCAGATAAAAATATAATTTATATCAATTTAACTTTTGTGATTTTTTCTTTGAAAAATCTTTTTCACATGCATTTCATGAACACTATAGAATTTGTGAAAACATAAATCCCTGGTTAAATGAATAGTGATATGAAGAGAAATGATTTATACTAATCAAGCCCCCCTCCCCTCCCACCCCCCCCCCTTCCTTTAAAAAGAATTGGCTCTAACGGCATAGTGTATACATGTACTAATAATATTGTAATAGCCATATCAAAAATGCAATCAACACCCCCCAAAAGTCTCAATGTACCATTCATACATGTAGCACTTCACATGCAACTACTGGAAAATGAGATCAAATAATATATGAATATAAATATATTTCATGCTAATATAATACTTCATAATAAATGTCCATGGATTTCAGTAATATATATTCTAAATAGGGAGCAGTCAATTATCTCTTCCTGTTTACATTACTTTAATCCTCCTATTCCAAGTGAGGATTTTTTGGAAAATAACATTCTCACAATGACTTCTCCCTCCTCTCTCTTCTATTCTTTCTCTACATCTACTACTCCCTTTCCATCGGTACAGTATTGTAATGAAAACTTTTCTTTAAAGCTGAGCATTTTCCATTAAAGGCTTTATAATCTATCAGCTGCATAAAACTTTATATCAACTTCTTACCAAAACAATGACATCTCCCTGAAGAAATACTAGCCTACAATAACCCCTCCCTGAGTCTGCCTACAATAACCACTCCCTGAGGAAGTACCAGCCTACAGCGACACCTAGTGGAACCAAAGGAACCAAGTAATAAGGGCGGTTGTCATGGAAACCTTGAGCCTGATCTCCGACGCTATCGTTGAGTAGTTCTCTCTGTCGCTGCATCTCGCTGCGTAGCGACGTCGCCTCGTGATGCGACGCTTCCAGGTCCAGGAGTCTATTTTTAGTCGTCTCTAATTCCAGCACCAGGGCTTCCGTTTTCTCCTCCAGGTCCCTGACTTGTTGTTCTCGCTGATCTCGTTCTGTGCTGTAGCCCTCTATTAAACCTATAGCAAACACAGGCACTTTCAAATTATACACATTATTTCACTGATATCATATCTGTGGTGTTCCTTTATATGCTACCATTGTCAAGAGAATGATCATTTACTGTAAAGATACCTTTTTTTCAGCGGGGTCATAATTGCGTAGATTGAATCACAATTCCTGTTCAATCAGTGGGTGGGAAATTATGCAGATTTTTTAACTGTCATTGTTTGCCTTGAATACATTTATAGTAGTCTTTGGCAATTTTTAAGAAAATTTGTACTTGTGAACCTCACTGGTGTGAGGCATAGAAATACCTTTTCTATTCCATCTTGTCTTGTTCAAATTTGCATGTGTGTGTATATACGTGAGAAGAACAATCGGCAGCCATGTTTGACATCTTTCTATGTGTGACCTGTTGAGAACTTTAAGCCCTGTCATGGTCATTTTACCTTTCATTTTTGCTTTAGACAGACACCCTTAAAGCAGACACCCCTACCTTCTGCCTTGTGTAGCTCCATAGCTAGGTATTCCTTGGCCTCCACTTCTTCCCGCAGCCTCTCTTCCAGTTCGTCACACCGCGTGGAGATGGACAGCGACTCCTGTTGCCCTGACGACACCGTGGTGACCAGTTCGTGTTGGGTCCGCTTTGTGTCATACAGCTGGTGCGTGGTGTCCTCAATCATGTCTAGGAGACGCGAGACAGAGCTCTGAAGCCGGTTACTGGCATCTGGTGAAAATAGAAATAAAGGAGTGGATCTAAGTGAAAATAAAGTGGTGGATCAAAAGATTAAAATTAGGGATGTGGATCATAGAATTAGCAAAGGAAAATTATAATACTTATGACAATCATCTTTTAAAACATAGAAGTAAATTCTGTGAAAGTAAAATAAAATTCAATCAAAAGTTCACCTACTTCAGTATTAATGTCAACTCTACTTTCTTTTCAATAAATGCATTTCAAATATTTCCATTAAGCATGTTAAAAAAAATGCACTTAAATTTTAATTATACATTACAGCTTTGCAATTATCAACAGCACGTACAGATAATTTCAAAGGTTTGTTTTCCCCCATAAAACTACATTTGATATAACTAGCAGGATTCAGATTATTATTTTTCTACATACCATATGTGTATTCCATTGTAATTATTAAGACAAGCCTACTTAACTTTTTCACACAGAACTACATACTTTTAGTCAACTACAAAGCACCATACAAAATTATAGGAAAAGTGGAGTGCATGGAATGTCCATTTAAATAATTAGCCTTCTAAACCCCGTCATTACGTATAAATACCCACCACTCTCCGTGATATTAGTGTGAGATAACATGTCTCAATGTATACACTTTCTAAAATTATTTCTACCAATTGTTTATAAGTTTCAATGTATATAAACACTCTCCACTCAGGCACATGAGACTTTAGTTAGAGTAATCTATTCTCAAGTGATACATTGTGTATCTACCTTACTGGTCAATTTAATAATTGAATGGAAATTAAGTTTGAGGTCAAAAGCCTTGAAGTTTGTATCTGTATTTTGATCTTATACTTCTATAAATCTGCATTTTTTTCCCTAGGAATGTATGTTTTGAAAAATGAAAGATTATTTTTGGAGGCATATCGTTGTTTTACGCTAATGACTGAGTTCTGTGCTTCCATTACAGTACTTTTGTACTATGCTCAATTGGATGATTGTGTAAATTTTAATTAATGGGCTAATTTCCTCCCTGATTGATTACTAATGTAACATAATTACAGCATTTTCTGCCTATTTTTTGACCTCTTATTTTTATAGTTTGCTATATTTTCATAGAATTCTCACAATCTCTAATATTAACTTTCACAACATATGTTTAACATTATCAGACCTGCACTTTCCTGCATGTGTGTATAAAGTGATTGTTCTGTCATCAAATTTCCCCAGATTAGATGGCAGCCAACTTTTTTTTAAAAATTTACCAACATAATTGTACACATCTGTGTATTATTTTCTGAGTGTCTGAATAGAACACACAATTTTTGTTTCTGGATCTTATCTCCATCTTCTCCCTCTCCCCCTTTCAATACCACCCTGTATTTCTCCATCTCTCTCTCTCACTTCCACCCCTCTCTCACTCTGACCCCCATTTTCTCTATAGAGCTGCCTCCCTCTAGTGATCCTTATGAATCTACAAGTCTTATTTCCCCAGCACTATGTGATCACATTATAAACTCCTTGTCATTTTTCTAGATAGATACATAATCAATATGGTGTTTCTGATGTAAAACCAGCCAGAGTGTGGAAATCATTATACTTACTAAAGTAATCACCAATGGTTGACATCACCCCAGATACAGTAAATCACAGCTTTGTGTCAAAAAATAATGTCTGCTGATTATTTACCATGTTTATAAAATCTCGTACTATAAAACATTTTTTGTCCCAGCCTCCTCTACATTTTGTCACATTAATAATTGCTTCTCCTCAAATTGTGGATAGATTGTCCCATGCAGTCAAATTTACTCCAGTGTGATTTTTTCCAATTTATAAACTTAACCTTGACTTTACATATAATATTAAATTTTCCTTCTCTACAATTCACATAACAATCACAAATTTGTCACCAATTCAGCCCCCTTTTATATACGTTTTTAAACCCCTAACATTAGTGTGATGCTGTTGTATACTTC